CCCCAAAACCCCAAAACCCCAAAACCCCAAAACCCCAGTTTAAAAATTTCAGGTTGACATCAATAAAATCATACAAATTAGAATATTTAAGCTCCTCCAAATCTTTGCTCTCGGATTTCGTCAACATCAATGAGACCTAGTTCAACAAGAGTTTGGAAATCCTTCAAGGCTTTTGAAGAATTCTTGTTGCTTTGCAAAGATATGAAGCTTCCTGTGTGGATTTGGTCTTCAGCTTTCATGTTGTCTTGACGATTTATATCTAATACATTTACATCATTTATGTTTAAAGCTTGTTTTGAGTCTACAAGAATGAGCAAGGATTATCCAAGTCCTACCTTTCATGATGAGGTAGTTGTTATACCTCATTGCTTGCTCAAAAGATACACTTTGGGCATCATCCTCATTTTCATGTTGATTCTGGATGATGTTCTGAAACCTCAAGATATCAGCATTAATTTTTACTGTATTTTGCTTGTTCTTTCTGCTACAAAATGAGTCTAATTGCCTACCATTTGAGCTTAGGTATAATAAGGATGCATCAGAAAGCACATAGGAGAAATACTCATATTGGAATGAGAACTATTATGATATAATTCTGGTCTTTGGTCTCCGATCTATATTCTTTAAAGTTGGTTACCTTTTAATTCCTGTAACAGTAACCTCCATCACCCCACCAACTCCGACCATTGGAATGAGAACAAGAGTAAACTGCTCAGTGTCTTTGTCTGTGAGATACTCAGATCCTTCAGAGTATAGGTGTGCTGTCTGATTTGAAGTTGTCTAATAACATGAAGGTCGTGTTCGGAAAGGAACATATGAAATTAAAAAGAACCCAACCCTTGCATTTCTTATAAACTCAAAAATTGTAATATGTGACTTAATATAAATAGTAGGTTTTCTTCCTTAAAAATTGGCCTCCATAAAGTTTCAACTATCAAAAAATGTTCGTGAAGTGTCTGATAAAAATGAAATAACCAAAGAAGCAAACCTCTTAATGTAATCACCAAGTGACTTATATAATACACCACAAATTTTGAACGATTCATCAAATTTCAGAGGAAATAAATGATATCCTGAGCACATCTGAGATGTTTTATAGACCAGGTAGTCTACTATAGTTCCTTATTTAACTATCAATGGCCACAAAGGATTAATTAAAACAATTTTCATGCAGCCAAACCCTATTGACTATTTAGATCTCAAAAGAAGAATTGGTAGTTACATTTGGAGTCAAGATGATTGTCTGAGAGGCGGGGCTGGCATCTACCTTGAAGTAGAAGCTCAGACTGCTGTTGCTCTCCATTCCTACAGTAATCAGTTAGCTTACGAGCATTCAGAGAAATTCCTTGGTAAAACTTGGTAGGGACCGTCAAAGTGTATATTCAGGAATGTTCAGTGACCAACCTGGGAAAAATGAACTTGGCATAATCGTAAAAGGAAGTGAATGTCTGTGCTTGGTTTCCACAATAGAAGTAGCTACTATGTGGTGCATTGAGAGCTATGAGGTTAACAGATACGAATGAAGGAAATAAATATAGCTGAGACACAATGTAAACATACTAAGACTAGAGGAAATAATTAGCAATCAAAGTAAAAACGATAGGTAATAGCTCAGTTATAAGTCTATAAAGATACAAAATTTATGATAATTTGAAATAAAATTTGAGAACAGCTAATTATCAGAGTATAACACACTTTCAAAAATGATCAATTTATATAATTTAGTTGCTTCTGGAATATTTATTTAGATATTTGGCTCTAAAAGGGTTAGAAACTCTTCATAATCTTAAACTAAATTTCTTGTGTTCCTTTCAAACTCTTCATTAGAGTGGTTGGTCATATAGTGTTATGTTGCTTTCAACCCATTTGTTTATTTGCAATCCAGTCACCGAATGCTTACCTATGATTGCAGCTATGAAAATTTGCAAAAGTACGAACTTCATTTTAGAAAATATTATAAGTTACAACCATTCACTTCAAATGGGGTTTTGGGGTTTTGGGGTTTTGGGG